TTTTTTTTTCAAATCATAGATCTTTTATTTTTCGCAAACTTTTAATTATAAAAGAAAATAATGAGTTTGTCTTAATTCATCAAAGTTTGTTTTATTTTTTTCAATCTCATTTTGTTTTTCTTCGTTCTTCAAACTTTTTTTTTTAATTATTCCAGTATTTTCTCAAGTTTGTTTTGATTTTTTCTTCAAGAATCGCTGAAAGTTATCTTTGTCAAATGTGTAATCACTTACATTCAAAAATAAAATGACACATGACACACCTCAGTCATTGTGACAATGATTGATAATTTTCAATTCAATATCGAATTTCATGTGGAAAAACTAATTGACACACCTAATTCCATTAGGAATTGTCGAAATTTCACTTATTCACTTGTTTTTACTTCGATTCTGCATTCTTTTTCAGCAATTTACGTATGGCCGCTTGTAATCCCTTAGCTCCGATTGCGTTGACCTCTTCATAGTATGGTAATTGTGACAATCGATCGATCCATTGTTTGATTTTAGAGTGTTTGACTGGGTCCAACGGAACGATATCAGTCAAAGAGGATGCAGTTGCGACCAAACATAAATCGGCAATGGTCAAATCATTGCCACAAACGTATGGTGTTTCGGAGAGAAATCGTTCCAGAATATCCCAAGCCGTTTGTATATTCTGGATACGATCCTCAGGCATTTCGGAAGACTTACAGTACAAAATTGGTGCATACAAAAATCGCAATCGAGCGAAGAGATGGCCAGAGTCAAAGTGCAAACGAGAATCTACTTGAGCGCGTTTCGCCAAGTCTTTTGGGTAAAGTGAATCGTCTTTGCCGTATTTCCCAACCAAATATGCGCAAATTGCATGACTATCAGCTATCAGCACGCCGTTATCATCGAGAAACGGAATGGTGTGTTGTGGATTGAGCTAGGAATAGAATTTTTGATTAGGTCAAATTACTTTTGACTCAAGTGACATTGAATGTAAATACCTTGACAAACTTGGGTTCCAAATGCGCAAATTCCAACAAATTTACCACTTTACACTCGAACTCAATGCCAAGCGCTGCTCCAGTCATTAAAACCGCCCGAGATGGTGGGCTAAAGGTGTGCATATACAAAATTGGCTTGTTTGACATGATTGATCGGTTTTATTTCTGGAAATAACCGAAACGAACGTGAAATTAGAAGTGAAATTGACATTCAATATGTATTTTTTCTATTTATTAATTCATATTCATGGATATGCAATCAATGAATTTTTATTGTGTATAATATAACGCTAAACTTCACTAGCTACTACTCCGTTGTAATTAAAACACACTTGGCAATGAAAACGTTGACTGTTCACTGAATAGTGTACACACTGAACTGCTAGCCGCCACTGAACCGAATCATCAGATCTACGTGTTTGTAATTTTGAGTGGACTCAACGTATCTATTATTACACGTATAAGATCGACTTGTTTTCTATGAGGTAAATAATTGACAAGTTCAATAGAAATTGAATTTTAGGATTATAAAAGGTACAAACTACAACGAAAAAAATAATTACGAATTAATCAACTAAAAGTGATCGACTAACAAAATTTTACAAACACTAATCGTTATCAGGAGGCTATGACTTTGAGCAAAATAAATCGCAATTTTTGTTATTTCATTGCGTTGAATCCATAATTAATTCTATGTTGCCGTAAAGGAGCACTTTCAATTAATATTCGATTGGTCCGTTGCAATCTACCTTTCTATCTGATATCGCACTAATCGAAAGCTGAATTGATAAATTTTATTCAATTTTTTAATAAAAATTATAAATAACAAACGAAGTCATGATAAAAAAAAAGAAAACTTTTCACTATACACGTTATCAAAGGCAATAAAAATGTTTGAAGAACAAAAATAAAATTGAAGTCAAACGAACCACTCCCTATTTTAATTGCACAATGCACAACTTCCAAGTGATGCACCATCAACTGTTCGCTATGGCATTCGATCTACAACTGAGTCTAACTGAGTTGGTGTCTGCTTCAGTTTATTTTCAGTCGAGACAAATCGGCCGCACTCGTCTCTGCGCCGATATCAACGAACTCACATATACAGCTTCAGCGATGCCGTAAACAAAGTGCGCGAGTGAAAAGAAATTAAACATATCAAACTCATGAGAATTATCTTGAGTATGCAACGTTTCTTATCACCATATTGCTCACTGTGGTGAAGCAAAACATGTTACACTGTTACAATGAACTTCTTCCAATGGTTTTTATGAATTTTTAATGAAAGCTCAATTCCAAATTTCAAGAAAGTGCAAAAAAACTGAAAAAAAGTCATTTTCAGCGAAATCATTGCTCAATTCTTTACCTGTTGGTCACATAAATAGGAAATCTCTTCAGAAATAAATGCATTGAACGCAGTGGACTTGTAGAAAACAATTTTCTTGATGATGACTCGAAATGTACTTTCATAAGAATTTGATTTATTCATTTTTCCACACTGTGAAAAACACCAATGTGTTACTCACGCTCATGACATAAATAAATTGTTTAAATATTTTCAATTGCTCAGCACTTTTCTAAGAATAATATATGAAACACGTCACCACTGTTTGGACAATTGTGTCCGAAAAATGCGTGCCAAAATTTGCTGTAAAATTTTTTTCGCTTTATTGACCTTTACTGGTTTTCATAATTTGTTCTTTCAACAATGATAACGAAAATTTTCCGTCGTTCCAAATTTTATAGTGCCGTCAAAACAATTTTGTTATGATTTTTGCCAATTTTAAATAAATAAACAACATCTATTTTTAAAATTTTGAAGTTTAAGCAAATATTTTGTCAAATTTTGGCCTTAAATTAGTATTGTGTATCACATCGCGGCTCTAAAATTAGTATATATATATGAAAGGCGCGAGATCATAAAGTCATATTAATTCGACTCTTTGGAAGCGGTTGATCTTCAAATAAAATTTTTATTCAATCATATTCGGTACAATCAAATCAAATTCGACGAAATAATGTGCAAATTTGCCTGTTTCACATTTATCCTTCTCATTGGATTTTCCATCATAAACGGTAAATATCTAAACTAATCTTTTTTTTGTATAAAATTATGATTGATCGAATTCACATTTTAAAAAAATGGTTTTCCACCTAAGCAATGTTTATATTGTTATTAGAATCTGCAAAACACCCAACTTTTTCTCATGGAAACGAGTTCCAATAAAACAAATACTAACAAATAGCTTCAAGAGTTGAACTCGGCAAATTACTAATAAGAATTATTTCTAGCAAAATCCATTCGCCGACAACGATGCCCAACAAATTTGAAAGAAGTCACTCTTGACACGGCCACATTTCTGAAATATATTCAACAAAACCCAGATGTACAGAATTTACTAGAAGGCGCTTTGGATAATTTATCTTCGCAAAAAACACCCGAAATAACACTTTGTTTTGACCCAGAAGAACTGCGACTAGCAGATAGCTTTGATCGACTCCTAACTCTCTGATAAAATTCATGTCGTCTCTTCTTAACCATCTTC